TACCGACAGTGGGTTCATCACTCCGCTGTCGGTAAATGACACAAATGGCGCCATCTAGCTGTACAAATAGGAACTATTCAACGACAAACTTGGGCGTTTTCCCGATAGAGGCGCTGACCAAACTCCGAAGTTAATTCGGGTTCTTCGGCGCTAGATGGCGATACTGTAAAAAACCGCGTTTTCGTAAGAAATTTGAATATCATTTTATTTAATCTGTCAGATAACTTCAAACAACGAAAACGCATGGAATCATGGAAATCCCAAAATTAATAATATCACAGAAATTAAAACACGTTGCAAAATATACTAAGCTGTCCTTCTTACGTTTTCTTTAAATTTTTAATAATTATCGTGTTCATAAATTTTACATTATCAAGGAACATTCGAATAATTAATAAAACATTTGTAATGCATACAGTAGCATTTGACGTACGTTTAAATGTTGGTAACAATCGCGATTCAAAATAAATATTCGTCGAAAGAATTTGTCAAACTTTCCATACATTTTAATACCTACATATTGTCTTTAGCCACTAAGTATTAATTTCTCAAAACAGTTACGGTAATTATTAACAGTGCCAATTGTTTAATCCCTATCACTAACCATCCTTAAGTTATTTAACTCGTTTCTATTGACCCATATTTCAATCGATTCCAGTCTTCTCTAAATACTACACGAAATACCATTTACAATTGGTGAAAAATAATTCGTGCGAGATAAGTGACGGTCAGTTTTATCATTCCGTACACTTTAGTCATCCTAATCGATAAATTCGACATATACGCGTAGATAAATTAATAAAAATAATCTGTCGGTCTTTCAGTTTCTTTCACCATGAATACGTTAGGCGTTCTTCTAATTCTCGGCTCGACTATCGTCGTCAATGGTAAATTTCTTTAATCTACATTGTTCGTCTAATCCAGATAGTGTATGTCGTGCAAAAAATAAATCTTTAACAGTTTATGTTTTACAATTGAAAAACTGAAAACTGTCTGGTGCCCTCTTCTTCGAATTACTGAAACGGATTTACCACGACCTTGTCTTCGATAACAGACTGCGGATGTTTATGCATTTATGAAATATAAAGAAATCTGTGAAAATTTGAACAAATGAAAAAATGTATAACACGATACACACATTTAGAATATAATACGCACTTTCATTTAACTTTCGGATCCTCTTCTGTATCTATGGAAATTTTAATTCGCATAAACATCCGCAGTATGATCATTGCGCTCTTTTGATTCGCATTCTTTTTGACATTCTGGTATTCTACTATTCGTTCTTTCTATTTCAGGTTTGGAGTCACGAATCCGAGGTGGCAAGATCGCCAATATGGGAAGATATCCTTACCAAGCATCGATTTGGGATAACAATAGTTTTAAATGTGGCGGATCCGTCATTACCGAACGCTTTATCCTCACGGCTGCTCACTGCATTTACAAGTAAGTTTTTCTTAACGCGGAATATTGGAAAATTTAATATTCAACTAGCGTGATGTCCAAAATTAGAGAAGAAGAGATTTTAAAAAAATTTTAAAGAAATTTATCTTTTGAGAAACGATCATCCCTAGTTAAAAGTCGTTTCATCCTAAGCTAATGTACCTACTATACCCAATAAACCTAATTCATCTATCTATATAAAAAAATTTTAGAGCACTTTTCTGTATCAATTTTGTTAAGCAATAAATGATTATCCCATGTACAAAAATGAAATCGATAACTTTATCAGTTTCTAAGAAAACAGCTTATGATACTTTATTCAAGGCGCCTTGTATATTTAATTTCGATAACAAATAAATTAGTTTGGCCAGCCTTAATTTTTGAAAGTTCTTAGAAGTTCGATGTTCGATAAGGTTAATCTATATCTATTCTGACATACGTATACCTAAACGACCTTAATCTATATCTATTCTGACATAAGTATACCTAAACGAATCATTCGTTACAAGTAGTATATTAAATAATTAATCACTGAAAAACGTGTAATATTTATGTTATTTGCTTATCAAAAAATGGAATCCCAAAATGAAAGCACAATTCGTATAATTATCATGACGTTGCGGAAACGTTGCCAAACGGTAGAAATAATTAGTGAATTAATGAATTACGTTGGAATCAACACCTTTATTGATAACGTTATTTGTTACGTCACACACGTAGGTAAACATAATTCTTATGTACATACAACTTCCAAGTAATAAATTAAACATAATGAATGATTTATCTGTTACAAGTTAGATTATAATTTGAATCTGAATCATAGAATGAAATTGTATTTAATATTGAACGATTGAAATTGAACACTTTTCTGAAATTATTATAATGTAATTCGATGGAATGAAACATGAAGAAACATGAAAAATAAACTCCACTTCTTCGGATTGTTTAATAATTTCACGTTTAGAATTATGTACTGACAGCTATATAATTTCATTTGCGATGCTTCGACAGTCGAATAGAATATAAATAAAATAGATAAATATTCTGATAATGATACAACCTAATTTTACAGGAGATCAGCAAACACAATGACAGTTGTTGTTGGAACCAATTATTTAAAACACAATGGAGATATTTATAATGTCGATAAATTAATTTGGCATAATGGCTACTGCTATAAGCTAATTATCAATGATATCGGTTTAATACGCGTGAACAAAAAAATTGTGCTAAGTGAAACAGTTCAACCGATCCGTCTTGCGCCTGTGTTTGACATTCCTTCAGGTGAAGTTGCTGTTGTCACTGGTTGGGGAAGATTATCTGTAAGTTACGATACCAGTTATTTTAAATACTAAAACAATGACTTATTTATAATAATGTACTATATATGCATTCTTTACTTACCCCCTTGGGGGTTACACTGTTACATTTCAACTTCCTCCATCTCTTACACTTTCTTTCTTTTTACCTTTACACCTCGCCCATCCCTTCCTCTTCCTAATCAATAATAACTAATTTTACTAAATTAATTCATACGAACTTTCACTGGTTAATATGTCATTTCTGTATGCATGATTATATTAATCTACATGACACGACAGTCTATTATTATCAGTTTCTTTACCATTTGTTCGTTTCTATTTTTGTTTTTGTTTTTGTTTTTTTGTTTATTTAGGACGAAGGCCCGATCCCATCCACGTTGCATGAACTCTACACGATTGTAGTATCACAAGAATCATGCCAGAAAATATTCCCGGAAGTGGACGACAAAAAAATTTGCACGCTGACCGAGAATAACACGAGCGCTTGCTATGTACGTACTACATCTCGTATTTTCACGTAATTCATTTTACTCGTCGATGAAAGCGATACAATCGATTTTCGTGACTTGCTCGCACGTAAAATCTTTCGTTAAGCTATCCCGTAACCAACATGTTACGATCGATATTTCGTGTTGACACAAGTTTCATAACTATTCAGATTCCTAATGGAAAATTTATTCTTATCGAAATAAAAAAGGTTGTCTGCGTTACTCGGGGGATGTTGCAGCTTCCGATTCCTTCAATAATTTTATGAATCGATTCGGTAGTTCCAAAGATCGCTCGCAACGTACGAAACGATTTTTCCTCTTTGTATGTAATACTAGTATACAGGGTGTCCGAAAACTCGGGGAGGAGCCGGAAATGGGGGGTAGCTGAGACGATTCTGAACAACAATTTCCTTTGCAAAAATGTCGGATGGAGCTTCGTTGAGGAGATATTAAGCGAAAACCCCGACCAATCAGAGCGCGCGTAGACCGTTCGAGCGGCCGCGGTAGCGAAGGTTACGCGCTGGTGGCCGCGCTTGCACGCGAACAAGTGACTCGACGTGCATCGAAACATCGACCTAGCGCGTAGCCTTCGCTACCGCGGCCGCTCCAACGGTCTACGCGCGC